TAATTATTGAGTTCTCGAAAATTTTCTTTTTGCATGTGTACGGATCCGGGCCGCCCGGCCGACCAGCGCCCTCTCGGGGGAGGTCCCGGGCGGCCCGGTTGGGGGCCGGCCCCCCCCAGCACACCTTGCTAGCGGGGGGTTTCCGACCCCGAATCGGCCAGATTATGTCTCCCCAAGGCCTACTGGGTCCGACCACGGCCAGAAAACGGCGCGTCGGGCCCGGGAGGCTGCTTTTTTTTTTTTGAATTTGTGACGGCCCTCTGGTCGTCGATCATCCATGATCGACGGCCAGAGGGCCGTTTGTTTTTTGGAGGGAAAACCCAGGCCCCGTTTGAACAACAACTGCCTTGGGCGGCCTGCATTGGCTGTTGAAACGGGGCCTCCCTCCAGCCGCCTGCGTTCATCCTCGACTCGCCCTCGCTCCTCGCGCTGCCCGTTGTCGCCATCGCCTGGGAGCTGCGCTCGCTCGTCGTCGTGGAGTCGCCTGTCGCCCTTCGCCAGCGTCGTGGAGTCGGCCGTCGCTCGTCCCCCTCTCATCTTCTTCTTCTTCTTCTTCTTCTTCTTCTTCTTCTTCTTCTTCTTCTTCTTCGTCTTCTTCTTCTTCTTCTTCTCTCCTCCTCCTCTTCAGACTATTTTTTTTTTCTTCTTTTTGTTTGTTCCATTCGTCAGCGATAGGTCGCGAGATAAACGACACGTAAGAAAAAAAAAAAAAAAAAACTGGTCCGCTCTTCTTCTTCTTCTTCTTCTTCTTATTCTTATTCTTCTCTCCTCCTCCGCCTCCCCCTCATCTTCTTCTCCTTCCTCTTCTCTCCTCCTCCTGTTCTTCCGCCCATCTTCTTCTTCTTCTTCTTCTTCTTCTTCTTCTTCTTCTCTCCTCCTCCTCATCTTCTTCTCCTTCCTCTTCTCTCCTCGTCCTCCTCTTCCGCCCTTCTTCTTCTTCTTCTTCTTCTTCTTCTTCTTCTTCTCTCCTCCTCTGCCTCCCCCTCATCTGCTTCTCCTTCCTCTTCTCTCCTCCTCCTCCTCTTCCGCCCATCTTCTTGTTCTTCTTCTTCTTGGACCGCCATACCCTAACGGCATACCGCCCCGCCATTCCCCTCCACCGCCGCCGTAACCCCTAGCCGCGCTCCTTCTTCTTCTTCTTCTTCTTCTTTCTCCTCTTCTTCTTCTCTCCTCCTCCTCCTCTTCCGACTATCTTTTTTTTCTTCTGTTTTTTTGTTCCATTCGTCAGTGATAGGTCGCGAGA